TTCCACTTAGTGTTCAGCAGCCAGTTACACGAGGTGAGTTTTCTTCCAGTAGGAATGGGTCTACGGCCACAATGCCGGCCCGTTTAAGTTGTAGAGTATGTCGGGGTAAGCCCGATGCCAGGGTTAGCCCGATGCAGTTTATATGTTCCGGACCTCGGTCCGATGCCGGGGCGGTCCCGAGAAGTAGTTATGTATGCCTGATGTCTTTGTGATTCATGCATGTTTACGTTTTAAGTGTTATGTGTTCCGGGGTAAGCCCGATGTATGCTAGTTATATGTTATGATTATGTGTTCCGGGCGTCGGTCCGATGCCGGCGAAATCCCGATGCAGATTATATGTTTATAATATATGTTATGCTGTGTATATGTCGGGGTAAGCCCGATGCCGGGGTGAGCCCGATGCCCGATGCGGTCGGATGCCGGGGTGAGCCCGATGTCGGGCAGGAGTCCGATGCCGGGTAAGCCGATGCTGGGATTCGTCCCGATGTAGTTGGGAGTAGTCCTAGAGTTATGTGCTTGGTATATGCTATGTGTGGTAGTTTGGGGGAGCTCACTAAGCTTTGTGCTTACAATTTTCAGTTTTGGTTTCAGGTACTTCTACTAGCAAAGGGAAGGGCTCAGGATGATCGCATGGCACACACCACAGTCTTCAGCCTGGGAGTTTTATTCTGATGTTTTGATATGACATTTGACATGAGATTTGACATGTGATAGATATTATGAGATTTTGAAACACATAGTTTATGAATTTCACACTTTGGTATTGAATGATGGTTTTAACAATGTTTTAAAAAAACGAAATTTTTGGGTGGTATTTTAGGGATGTTTCAATATTATTCTTTAAAATGAATACTCTGATTTTCAAATAAGCATAAATAAAATTTTTAAAATGACCACGAATTTGGGGATGTCACACAATACCTCTTCCCCTCATCAACCTCCATTGCCCATATTGTCCCTTGCAAACCCTAATCCCCATTGGTGGTGTTTTGAGCTCATTTTTGGTGTTGTTGTCCACTCTTAAAAGAAGGACGCCATTGAAAAGCAATGAAGAAACTCCAAGCTTGGTAGATAGATCTGAGTTCTACACTACTTGAGTAACCTCCAGAAGGTATAAAGCTCTGAACTTGTTGGTTATTTCTTTAGATCTTGTTAGATGTGGATTTTTGTGTTATTAGCCCCATAATATTGGTCCATTTGGGTAGAAGCTACTTTAGACCAAATGAGTTGTCCTTTTGGATGTTTTAGAGTGCCTAGAGTGATAAAAAGGGATATTGGCCCTTCTTTTCCTACCATGCAAAGGTTATGATGTCTTAATGGGTTAAGAAGTTAGGGTTTTAAGATTTAGACACTTGATAGCCATGCAAGATCATAAAGTTGGAAACTTTATGATTTAGAACATTATTTGGGATTAGATATGGGCTTTGGATGAAATGACTTAATAGATTAAGCATTTATTAGAAGGACAAGTTGGCAGGTGCGTATGCTGGGCGTACCTTATGGTAAGCTGCATGTACCTAGTCGAGACCCCGCTTTTCTGGCCGAGTGAAATGCATCATGCTGGGTATAATAGTTGAGTACGTCGGGCATACTCAGCCTGAGTTAACTCGGTTGAATTTTTAACCTTTGAACTTGACCAGGATTTTGACCAAGTTTGACTTAGTGGTATTTTGGGTATTTTGAGCTGTAGATTGAGATTTGGTCACTATTTGTTGTAAAGGTGATCAGTAGAGTTCATATTCAGAGCAGCGTGTTGTTCAGTTATTTCGTCAGACTGTGAGGTGAGTTTTTTTCACTATACTTGTGGGTTGAAAGCACCAAGGCCGGCCCACTGGATTTTGTATCCTGATATATTAGATTGATGTTATGTTGAGTATGTGTTAGACTGGTAGATCTGTATGATTACCTGTATTCCCTAAGTATGCGTTAGATTGGTAGATATGTATGATTACCTGTGTTGCTAGTTATTGATTGCTATTGTATATATGTCGACATGTTATGGTTTGTTAGGTTGAGGCGGTCCTGCTTTGTGCTGAATGCCAAGATACTCGGGGCGGTCCGGATAGAATGAAGTCCTGCGAGGCGGTCCAGTCAGGCCTAAGGCCCAGAGAGCGGTCCAGATAGACTATAGGCCATGCGAGGCGGTCCAGTTAGGCTGAAGGCTCATATATGCGTGCTGTTATTTGTATTGGTTGTGTGTGGTAGTTTGGGAGAACTCACTAACCGTTGGCTTACGGTTTAAGTTTTATGTTTCAGGTACTTCAGATGATCGTAGGAAAGCAAATGCGTGATCATGCACATCCTTCTGGTTTTATGTTATTGAATTTTGGAGATATTCTGATTTGTGATTATTGCTTTTGAGAACAATGTTTTGTAAACAAATATGGTTTTTGGTTGGGTTTTAAAAATGAAAATTTTACCTTTATTTTTAGGATGTTACAGATGTGGTAATGTAGGCTTATTAAAAATACCGGCTAAAACTTTGGAAAAACTTTTTTTTGGCCGGTTTCGCAGATTTATGCAATATCTCTTATTTTTTTTCGTTAATTTTGTCAACATATTAATTTTTTTCTGAAGATTACCCTATTTTTTAACTAATAACAAAAATATTGAAATTTTTCTGAAAATTACCCTTGAATTAATATATATATATATATATATATATATATATATATATATATATATATATATTATTAACAAAACATTTATAAAATTAAAACATTTTTTAATAAATAAAAGAAACTACCGTTGTTAGCTAATTTCTAGTAATGAAAAAATAAACTAAGTACTTCCTTCTTGCTTTATTTGCATTGTTGTTATTGTTATGGTGAGATGCATTTTATGGATGTTTCTTTCATGTTGATGTTCTAAGGGAGGAGGGAGTCCTTCCCTCCCAACCCTCTCAACCCACTGTCACATTAGCATTTCTCTATTCTCTCTCTTCTATCTTTCCCAACCCACAACACATGGAAATCATATCTTTCCCAACCCACTCAACTCACTTAATTTTTTATTTTAAAATAAACACAAACTAATAAAAATTATACAAAACTAATTTACATAATATTAAAAATATACAAAATAAGTTAAAAACTAATTAAATAATATAAAAAATTGATTTGGTACAAGTTTTGATGCATAATGTACAAGTGATTATTGCATGAGTTGAAAATGATATACAGGTTAACGAAGCCGCATATATAACCCACTCAACCCAAAATATTGAAACCACTCAAGAAGGTGTCCTAACTTGGAGGTACCGCCGGTACCTCCCTTACCCTCCTCCCTAAGTACCATATAACCTTCATATCTTACTTGCTAACAACTATTGGCTAAAACACATCTATTGAGAGTGAAAAGTGAATATTTAAAGGCGATCTTCATAAAAGTCTCGGTAATTTTCAAAAAAGTTCTAATATTTTGATTTAAAAAAAAACAAAACAAGATAACAACTAAATCTGCAGAACCGACCAAAATAATTTATTCAAATTTTAACCATGTTTTTCTATAAATAAAATTTAGTTTAAGATTTTTCATAAACTAGATTCAATATAAGAGTTTTTTTTTTTTTTTTTTTTTTTTTTTTTTTAATTTCAGTCGAAAACGTGGTTATGTGGTAAAAACACCAGCCTACCGATATGGTATTTTATTGAATAGCTCTATTTTTAATATATCATTGATGACTGTGTCCGTCTGAAAAAGAAAGTCACAATACATATTTAAATCAACGGATAACATAATAATAAAATTGTTTTTGATATTCATAAATCATAATCAACCAAGTGTAGATGTAGTGATCGGTATACAGTCATTCTTTTTAAACGAGATTTTGTACTTCTAGATTGAATACAAACAAAAAATATATTTTTTTTTAAAATTCCAATCACAAATAATTATTCTATTTTGCATCTGCTGACGAATCTTTTACTATTTTGTTAATGTCCAAAGAGAACCCCCCAAAATTGTAGCATAATAAAATCCCCCCAATTCAATTTTAGTTTGTCATATTTTGTTCTTAGTTTTGTTATCTTCTCCATAGTTTACAAGTGGCTTCAAAACCATCCAAGTTTACATAAAGACATCACTCGATCCAAAATTTGCCAACTACAAATCCACATGCATTATTAAGCTTAATTTATGTTTATTTTTGTTTATAATATGACTATCATGGTTTTAAAGTATTTTAGGTGACAGAAAAAAAACAATTATCACACTGTCAACAAAAATGTCTTTTTCATATTATTTGTTAAGGTAGTATTTTATTTAATATATAACACACTTATATTTATTTATGTGTTTTAATATTCCATTTTCATTACTTTGTATTGCAATATCATATTTTTTGTAATTAAAATATTATATTTCTAAATTTTTTACTCATTTAGATTAGTAAAAAATATTTTGTAGTTAGATGATATTATTATAATTTAATAGTCCCTTCAAAGTATCTTGTAAATGAGCCATGCAATATTTATTTAGTATAAAATCGTATATTAAATAAACTTCATCATAAAAAACATAGTAAAACTCGTCATCAATCTGATCATTTTGGACTCCAATGGTAGTATAGTGATCGGAAATATTGAAGACACCCAATTAAGGCTCTATCATAACTAAATAATTAAGTGCGGTTCTGATCTTAACACATAATTTAAGAGCTTTTAACTATGAATCAATTTAAATAATAAAACCTGATTAGTAAGAAAAAGGAAAATGTTCAAAAATAAATAAGGAAAAGGGAAGTTTATGCATCAAAATCAATGTGTCACACGTTTCGTAAAGATTCTTATGAATAAAAAGACAAACTTAATTTGGAAATTAACTCGTACAAACAAGAGTTTTTGTATATATAGTAAAACTTTCTAAAAAGTAATTGTTTGCCGGATAAGAAAGATAAATATAGATTCGTATATATTTTTTGAACAGTAGACCCCACCCCAACCTATGACATTGAAATTTGGGTCAATTCCATTTTGAAATTTTAATACCAAGTGATCATCGTTATGTCTCCTTGGTGATGGTATAGTACATTAATATGATCAATGAATGGAGATCCAATATACACCTATATATATATAAGAATGTTCACTTCTTATATCTACCATTGATCATAAAAGTGATTCAAAAACTCTTGTGATTATGAACACTCTCTCCCAAGTCTATGAGGATGGCACCACCTTCTCTCACAATATCATCCCTCTTGACTTTGAATCAATCGATGGGGTCCCGGAATCCCATCTATGGTCTCAGTCCGATGAATCACATCAAAAGATTCAAACCAACAACCCTCGTGATTCATTGATTCCAGTTATCGACCTCTCCGATCCTTGTGCAATAGATCTCATTGGTCAAGCATGTAAAACTTGGGGCATGTTTCAAGTCATTAACCATGGAGTACCCTTGGAGTTGGTAAAAAAGGTCGAGTTTGAAGCACGAAGGCTTTTTGCTCTCACGACTCATGAAAAGCGCAAAGTGTTGAGATCACCAACTGGAGCAACGGGCTATGGTTTGCCTAGGATATCGCCGTTCTTCGCGAAGTGTATGTGGCATGAAGGATTCACCATCATGGGTTCTTGTGTTGATGATGCTAAGGTTCTTTGGCCACATGATTACCAAAGATTTTGGTAAGTTTGACTTTTGACTAAAAGTTTTCAACTTTTCATGCAAATTCATGCACGTATATGTGATGTAATGCTTCATAAAATATGCATTTTTTTCAGGGGTGTAAAATTAGAATTACATTTTTTTTTGTGGAACGGCAGCTACTAATCTATATATTAATTACATGCATTTAAATGGTACCAAACTTTGTACTATTATTCTATTAAAATAATATATATTTTTTTACTGAATGTTACATCAAAACTATAAATATTTTCATTATAAAGAGTTTAATTAAACAGATGATCATCTCTTTGTTTTCTTCATTGTCATATATAATCATTTATCTCAATTTTCAAACACAAGTGGCCCTTGTTTTGTCATTAGTTAAAACAAACTACTAATATTCCGATCTTAATAAATTTACTTTTTTATGTATAATATATTTGTAACAAATATGGAAAGCCACACACATACAATATATGTTATAGACTATATATGTAATCATTTACATCGAACCGATTTATCTATTTCATCATAAATTCATATCAATACAATATATAACACCTATCTAGCTAGCTACTTATAAATGAAAACAATCAACGTATGCAACACCGATTAATTGTGCATCATATTCATTATTTTATGATCTGTTGTTGCCTTGTATTTTGTACATTAATTAATGCTTACATCACTAATGAATTTGTTTACTTGATGAATATTGTAGTGACACCATGGATGATTACCAAAACCAAATGAAACTACTTGCCCACAAACTCTTACTTCTAAGCCTTCAAACATTAGATGTAACACAAGAAGAAATAAATTGGGCAACTTCAACTCATGGCTCTAATGGTGCACTTCAACTTAATTCATACCCATCGTGCCCTAATCCTAGTCGCACCCTTGGTCTTGCACCTCACACAGATTCCCTCCTCTTAACCATTTTGAACCAATATGGTATAACAGGTTTAGAGATCTTTGTTGAAGGGTTAGGGTGGAGTCCTGTGTCTCCCATTGAAGGTGCATTTGTGGTGAATGTAGGTGACCTTTTGCATATATTCTCTAACGCAAAATTTCCAGTTGTTTATCATCGAGCCATGGTGAATCAGTCAAAGCACAGAATATCGGTTGCTTACTTTTATGGACCTCCGATTGAGTCTACATTGGCTCCTTTGTCTAATTATCAAGACCCTTGTTTCAGATCTTTGCTTGTGAAAGAGTATATAAGATTGAAAGCCACATATAACGATAAGGCTCTATCCTTGATTCGAATATAAGTTTCTTTTTTAATTTGTCACAGTTTTACATGTAATTTGGCCAATAAAGTGAAATAAGAATGTTTCAAGGGAAATAAATGTTGGTATATTTCCGAATATTATCTTCTGCAGCATGTTTTTCTATAATTGATCATATCTGATTTTATTTATTTAATATCCGCAGAAAACACTCTTTTTTATATATAGTAGAAACAGTCATATAATATCCAACCTTTAGATTTAAGTTAACTTACTATTAATCTTTTTATTAAAAGGTTTTTCTTTTTTCTTTCAAAAGTAATTGAACATGTGCAAAAACAATAACATTTTCTGTGTAATATTATTCGTTTAGCTGTATTTAATATTATATTTGTATACCACTCTTCTTACATATTTGCTAAATTTTCTTTCAAATGGAAAGTTTGAATAAAATCTTATAATTGGTTTCAGTTTTGGATTAGTATCATGAAAGACCTTAATTATATATTGTTTTCTTTTCCGATTAAACCTCAACTTTATTTTTTTTCCCTGAAAAAGACTGCATTTTTTCGATTTGACAATTTTAACAGTTTTTTCCCGAACAAAGTTGTCAAATGCAAGGGTTTTTCCGAAATAAAAATAAAAAGTCGAGAGGTTTTTCGGAAAAAATATAAAGTTGAAGCTTTTTCGGAAAAAAATAAAAGGTTGATGGGTTTTTCGGAAAAAATAAAAAAATGCAAAAAGTTGAATGAACATCTTTTATGTTATTAACCTTTAGTTTTCTTAAGCATTGAATAAAATCATGTGCAAACCATCAAAAAGCTCAAAAAGCTATTGGGTATGCATAACGTATATACCTTTTGTTTTCAGTGAGTAATTTTATTACATCTTAAAATTCCTGTACGAGACACTTGATAATTATAATTTTATAATCGATCTTATAAAATTCTAGTTTCGAACACTTACTTAAAATCTTGATATCACATGACTTAACCCTAAAATCCATTTCAGTACCATATACAAATAGCCACAATACATAAATCCCTCTAAAACTCAAACCCAAAATATTGTTCAAATTATAAAAGGTATAATTATTATCGTTGGATTTATCCTTTATCATCTGTACGTGATCCTTCCACTAGTCTTTTTTCGTATATTTATGTTGAAACAAAATTGCATTATTCGAGCTGCACACAACACAAAACAAACATCAGTTGATATAGGAAGGGTTAAATGCAATAAATAACAATGTAGTTTCATTTTCTTTTCTTTTTATTGTAATATTGTACTTAAAAAACTCTACACAATTATAAATAACAATGTCAACAAAATATAAAGCAAATTCCACTGCTATAAGGTAGATTTTTTAAGGTATAACATCCTTTGTAAAAAAAAACTTGAAAATGCAATGTTATACTTGTGTTGATTTTTCAAAGCACAATGCTTTAATAAGAAAAATAAATTGAAAGTAAAATGTTGTTAACTTGTTATAGAAAGAAATGAAAGTAGGATGCTAAAAATAAAATTATGTTTTACACCAAATTATTTGGTGTTAAACCTCTCCAACCCAAATTTTGTGTTTTATTATTTATTTGCACCATATTTGTTGTTTAAACAATTTTTTTTTTTACAAATTGGTCTTTCATGAATGCATGTATTTTTAGTTTATTTAACTGTATAATGATTTATGAACTAATATATAATTGCTACTTGTAATATTATTACAGGTTCAATCTATATTATTTAATGGCATAAATTAAGTTACATTTTTATGTTTCAAACTTATTTTAAAGATTTACTACTTTTCAATCATTTAAAACACAAAAACAAATTTAAATAAATCAGTCCATTAACATACATGTCATCTAATATCATAAATTACCAAATTATAGTAGTTTAAATATATATAAATTAGAACGAAAAAAAAATCTCTTTGGTGTTAAAAATAATGTAATGGGTAATGAGTTGGAAATGGTTTAATACACATATAACTGAAAGTAGGTTGCTAAGAACCAAAAACTTAATAAATTTTTTTATTTACCTCATTTGTTAGAGCCAAGATCCATTAAAAGCCTTCATCTCCTTTGAAAGTTGAACGATTTCATTGTAAACGCAAACACAAGTGCAAAAAGCAAACAGAAACCCACCACAGCAGTTGCAGCAACACCTAAAAATTCATGTCTGTAACCAAACTGATCTTCAAGAAACTGTTTCAATGGAACTGAATGGGACCCATCAGCAAGTTTCAAAAGATCATTCACATCTCCATATTGTGATGTCAGCAGCCCATATAAACTCCAAGCCACTGGATTAGCCCAATAATACCATCTCCACCATATAGGAATCCTCTGTAGTTTTAAAACCCAAAACATATCATTTATTGACTTAATAATTTCCCATTTGAGAAAAATTATAAATAATGAGAGGAGTTGAGTTACCATTCGGACAACCATGAATCCGCTAAAAAGATTCCAAAGCATGTAAAAAGGGGCGGCAACTATGGCGGCGATGTTGTGGTTGGGGGTGACAGCGATTGTCATCATTCCAAAGAAAGTGAAGTACAGCAACGTGAAGAACATGAAGTATACGTACCAAAAAAGCTTCATCATATTCCATTCGAACGAAGCTAGAAAGTAGAAGATAACACTGTATACGAGCGACTGTACGTACACGTACGGAAACTCTATTGCAACCTGACAACATAAAATATTGTCACCCACGACAGTAAAAAGAACCAAACACTTCAAGTGTATTTTACTGAAACCAAAGCCTTGGACTCCTTTTATAAGCTTGGGACCACGAGACAAATACCTGCGCAAATGCAAATGGTAAGGCGGAATACATTCCGGCCGCCCTTTCGCGATAGGAAACGGAGCGTTCGACGTAAATAACTGGTTGGACGGAAGAGGCGTTGGTGATTCCGATGAATAAGACTGCTGCATACATGGATCCCATTGCATTAAAAATGTCTTGTTGTGTTTCCCTGTTGAACAAGAATAAAAGAAGGAATGTCGGATTTTAGATATTTGAATAATACACTTGAAGTGTTTGGTTCTTGTTACTGTCGTGACACTATTTTAAATTAAAATTTTAAAATTTAAAATAAGAGAGATACCTTTTAGTACCGAATTTCCAGCACATGGTCCCGAACATTAATGAGATGATGACTGTGTAGAAAAAGCGTACAGCTGTATATTGTGGGTTCCGCCAGTACGATAGATTTTGTTTCCAAAGGCATGCGAAAAACTGGCCTATGAATGTTTGAGAATATTTGGTTGGGAAGGTCAACAGCTTTGACTTTCTATCTGGTTTGCTTAAGTTATCAACTAATTCTTGGTTTTGCCTGAAAAAGTAAAATTTTGAAATACATCCGTTATAAGAAAAAGGGCGAAACAGTAATTTCTTTTATTTCTATATTATATTTATGAATTATAGAATTGTATTATTAAAGAAAAGATTGACATACAGATATAGATCTGATTCACGATAAACTTGAGCAAAGTCTACACCAAGGCGATTTTCTTCTGTTGTTGAAGTGGCCTCAAGAATCCATGCAGCAGGATTATATCCAGCTCTGATCTTGGAAACTCCTTTTACTCCCTATAAATAACAATTTTTAAAAAATTTGCCATTTTGCAAATAAATAATATAAAATACCAACCTGAAAAAACTGAATAACTTTGTGGGACCCGGTGCCCAAAGGTCCAGCATATATGAGCTTCCCCCCATGTTTCATGAGTAACAACTACAACACAAATTGATAATTGGAAGTGAAAGTAAAAATTAAAGTAAGAATGAAGATTAAGATTAAGATTAAGATTAAGGGTACCTCATCGAATGATTCAAAAATATCAATGCTGGGTTGATGAATGGTGCAAACAATGGTGCGACCAGTGTTGACAATATTTCTGACAGTTCTCATAACAATGGCAGCAGCTCTAGCATCGAGTCCAGAAGTAGGCTCATCCATGAAGACAATAGAAGGATTAGCAACTAATTCAACAGCAATTGTTAGTCTTTTTCTTTGTTCTGTTGATAATCCATCTACACCAGGTAACCCAACTAAACCACCTTTTAGTGGATTCAGTTCAACAAGCTCCATAACCTCTTCTACAAACTCCTGATCAAATTCAAATCAAAAAAATCGGAATCTCATCTCACTAAATCACCACATGTTTCGTGTCATATTTTGCGATATTCTTATTTTATTCAAGAAAGCGACATGAGGAAAAAAATTGTTGCTTTTTGAGATGAAAAAAAGTTCAAGAGATTGGGTAACATAAATATTTCTTTGAAGTTTAAGAAAAATTGATTAAGGTGTTTGGATTCTCAGGGAAAGGTTGTGGGTTCGAGTCTTTTTTTTACATATTTCGTGAAATTTGATAAAAAAAAGTCTTCCAAGAAAGTGAACATGAAATTTCATGAGACAAAGCTTAATCTTGTTTACATTTGAAAGAAATAATTATGATTGCGTTTGGTTGTGGAAAATTTTCAAATGAAAATGAGAAATTTGAAAATGCGTTTGGTCGATTCAATTTTCAAAAAATTTCCAAGAAAATGAAAATTTTCTATTTTCTAAATTGTATGTAAATTAGAAGAGTGGTTTTTACAGTTTTCAAAAGTTTCCTAAATTTCTAAAATAAAAAATGAAAACTCCACCTGTTTCAACCAAATACATTTTTTAAAATTTTCATTGAAAACTGAACATGAAAATTCAACTCTATTTTCTGAAAACATTTTCTAGAAAAAAAAAAAACAATTTTCCACAACCAAACACACCCTATGTTAGCCAAGTCCGATATATTTTTATTATTTTGTGAAAAAAATACTGAGAAAACAATATTTATGAAAAAATGTCATTTTCACAAAAAAAAACAAAAACAATTTCACAAATTAGAAAGTATTTTTCGCGAAATAGGTTGTCGATTTTTGTTATAAATGTTAAAAAGGTGGTGATTTTGTGAAACGACCTTCCAAATTTTAGTCATATTTGTGATTAACTCGATTAAAACTCTCAAATTAAACAAAAAAAAAGGCACAATTTTTTTTTTATCAAATGATGGTAATTAGTAAGATAATGTAAAAAAAAAGTTACCCTTCTTGTTTCCATGTTGATATCAGAAGGTAATCGAAGCCAAGCCGAAAATATTAATGATTCATGAACAGTCAAACATGGGGAATGAACATCATTCTGCTCACAATAACCAGAAACCCTAGCAAATGTTTCTTGATTTTTTGGGTACCCTGAAACAAATATTTGACCCGAGATATGCCCACCCGTTTTTCTACCTGCTAAAACATCCATAAGGGTAGTTTTACCAGCACCACTAACACCAACCAATGCCGTGAGGACACCTGGCCTAAATGCTCCGGTTACATTCACTAACAATTGTAATTTGTCATTTGATAGACCTTGTTGCTTCAACTCCTATAAATGTCAAACAACGGAGAATTTAAAATTTTGTTACTATGAAAATTGGAAAGTAAAGATTACTGAATTACTGATATACCCCTGGGATGTCCACGTAATAACTAATGTTCCGGAAGGTCATTGTGAGAGCTTGAAATGGAAGAACCATTCCTCTTTGGTTTTGGACTTCAGTATCTGTAGTAAAATGAGAAAGGTTAAATTTTGATCTAATAAAATATAGGGTTAATTTCAAAAAAGACCTTATATTTTATGGCTTTTTTTTTTCCGGATTAAACCTCAAAAAAAAATTGTCTGAAAAAGACCTTGTATTTTTCATTTTTTTTCAATCTGGCCCTTTTAGTCATTTTTTTCCAAAAAAATTGTTAAATGTGAGGGGTTTTTCAATAAAAACAAAAAAGTTTGAGGGTTTATTTGGAAGCATTAAGAAGGTTGAGGGTTTTTTTTTCGGAAAATAATACAAAGTTGAGGGCTTTTTCGGATAAAAGGTTAATCTTAAAAAAGACCATCCATTTTGTGTTTTTTCTAAATTAAACCTCAATTTTTTTCGCCTTAAAAAGGCCTTGTATTTTTTCATTTTTTCTGAAAAATCCCTCAACTTTGTTTTTGTTTTGTTTTTTTTTTCCGAAAAAAACCCTTAACCTTCTAAATGCTTCCAAATAAACCCTCAACTTTTTTAGTTTTTCTCGAAAAAAAACCCTCACATTTTACAATTTTTTTTGGCAAAAAATGACTAAAAGGGCTAGATTGGGAAAAATAAAAAAAAAAACAAGATCTTTTTCAGGCGAAAAATAAATTTGAGGTTTAATCTGAAAAAAAAAACACAAATTATAAGGTCTTTTTTGAAATTAACCCTTCGTAAAAAATGAAAAAAGGTCTTTTTCCGGCAAAAATAAATTTGAGGTTTAATCCAGAAAAAACATACAACATAAGGGTTTATTTATTTATTTTTTTAATATTAACCCTAAAATATATATTTATTATTAAAATTTTCCCTCACAAACCTGGATATGATGGTGAACATTGTAGGTAATCTTTTAACTCAATAATAGCGGATACAAGCCCATTTCTTTTCTTCTGTGACTTTGTATTTTCCCGAGGGATAACCACTTGTTGATTTCCAATAGCTTTATTTAAAAAAATAAAATAATAACATTGTTAGAGCCTAATATGAGATAATTTAATCACACATAAAGAGAAAAAAAAACTTACGATTGAGATATGTAAGGAACAAAGTAAAGAGAATGTTGAATAGAATAGTGTAACCAAGTAAAGCCCCAATTCCAATCCAATACCAATAATCTTCCGGAAACAAGCTTCTCACTTTTAATAACAATGTCCCTAAAGGAATGTTTGTGTTGTTTCCACTTGCCTACATTTCATAAATCTTTAAATCTTTTTTTGTAAAAAAAAATAAATTCAAATAGTTGATAACTACCTTATCCCAAGTATCTCCTAAAAATTCATTCACAGAAACCGCATTTTGAGCATACATCAAAGGGGAAACCCAATAACCCCAAATCCACCAAGCAGGAATGCTATCTACATTTCATAATTGTTAAATTTGATTTAGTAATAATAATATTGAGATGTATATAATTATATTTATATTTTATACCTCTAGAAAGTATGAATCCTCCAAGTGCCATAACAACCAACATAGCAAAAGATCCAAAAGTATTTGCAACTATCATATTTCTTCCTAAAGATCCCATCATACGAAAAAGCCCTATTGACATTTGATGCAAAGAGAAATACAATCCAAACTGCTTCAAACATCTACATATAGAAAATATGTTATTTTAATAAGATGCAACATAACAAAAGTAAGAAAAGGGAAAATCTTGAAAATATACCTAGAAAATTGAGGATCAAACCCAACAAGATAGTATGTGACAATTACCCAAACACCGGATTCTATAATTGATGATGGAATACTTAAAATCCATGAAGGAAGTGTGTAAACCCAACAGGGGTAGAAGTGTAAATCTCTATGCTTGTAGATAACAGGAAGTTTAGCTATCAACATTGGAACTTCCATGAATCCATTAAACAAAATCATAACTATTGCAAAGTAAAGAGCTCCAAGATAAACACCTCCATCTTCAAGTGAATTATGATGCATTGTTGTACGAAAAAACACACTTGTCATGATTATAACAACCAACATAAGCTGAAAAAAACAAACAATCAACAGTTTGTTTATCTTTGTTAAAAACTTACAAAGATTAAGAACTTACTTGAAAGTATTTGAAGACATAAACAAATGAATCACGTTTTAGAAGCAACATCTGCCATGAAAAGCTAATTTTGAGTAGCTTCATTCTGTTAACACCATAGGTGGAGGTAGAAAGAGCTGATGGATGATTATGATGTGTATTAAATGGAAGAGATAAATCACGTGATAAAGATCGACCAAGGAAATTTGATTGAAATGCTTCTACAAACTTCTCAATTGAAACATAAGTGTAATGTTCATCGAGTGCCCAATATTGTTCTTGATCTTTTACTGATGTAACCTGAATGTAATCAAGTTTGAAAAATGTGAATCATAAGAAAATGTTATGAGGAAAGTAATTGATAGTTTCCAAGAGTACTTAATAAATTGTGTACCAGAGACTCAAATACAATTTTTAATTAGTTTCCCTCCAAAATCTAAGCTAGCTGCTAGGGTAAAAGCTAACTGTTAGTTAAAAAGCTAGCTGATAACTGAAAAGCTAGCCGTGAACTTATAGGTTAGCTGATAAAAAATGACATTTGGTAAAAACTAGCTGATAAGCTAGATGAAATATATAAAATGACATAAAAGGACATTTAGGATAATGAGTTTTCTATAATTAATTAAGGGTATATTTGGAATATTTTAAAAAAGCACTTGAAAAGCTAGTCTAAGTAGCTTTCTAAAAAGAAAAATCTCCAATAAAGTCTCAATATTTTGGGTCATTTTATGGTTTTGTCTCGACTTCTATTTTTTGAATAGAAAAGTCCTGATTATTTTATATTTTGTCGAAATTAACGAAATAGTCCTTATTTTTTTTTCAACAGAAAATGACAGACTATCGTATAAAATTAGATAATCAGGTATTTTCTGTTCAAAAAATAAATGTTGGGATTAAACCGTAAACTAGCCCAAAATATTGGGACTTTATCGGAGATTTCCCTTTTAAAAAGCTAGCTTATAAGCTACTTTTGGCTTGCCAAACACAACAACTTAAAAAAACTCGAAAAATAAGCTAGTTTATCAGCTAGCTGTGGTATGCCAAACACAACCATAGTATCCACGACTCATTAATCAGTATACTATATTGTATACTTTAGCCACAGAAGCCTATTTTTCTTCAAGTGTACCTCTTGAAGAAAATCTGCAACGTTTTTCCTCTTTGGGCAATGAAAGCCCATAGAAGCAAAGAAACCAAGAGCAGCATTACGAGGTCCTTGGTATACAATTTGACCTTCACATAATAAAATCAAGTCATCAAAAAGCTCAAATGTCTCAGGGTCTGGTTGCAATAAGGAGATGACAGCTGTCCCATCAAGGGCACGAGTTGAGTGCTTAAGATATTTGATGATTTGATATGTGGTTGAACTATCTAGCCCTGTTGATATCTCATCCATGAAAAGAACCCTTGAGGGCCCTACTAGTAGTTCTCCTGTGTAAATTAATGGTGAATTATTATTCAATTCACAAAAATAGTAAAAGTTATATGAAATGGAATATTTACTTACCTGAAGTCAACCGTTTCATTTGACCTCCAGATATCCCTTTACGCATCTCATCTCCTACTAGTGTATCTGTGCATATATCCAATCCTAAAATCTTTGTATACATGTCAGGATTTTATCTTTGAATTGAAGTACAATATGATAATTAAAAAATAAAAGGGAAATTGTCAGAAAAGTCCCAATATTTTCAGGAAAGTTACACTTTAGTCCCAAGATTTTTTTTTTGA